CCATAACCTAAATCCATCAACCACAGCCTAATCTACCCGTTCAGTGCTTACATCATAGAGTTGTTTTGGTTGGAAAAGACCTTTGAGTTCATTAAGCCCAACAATTAAATAATGAGTGGGAGGAATGCCAGGTGGGGCAAAAAATATCTTCTTACTGACAGTTGAGGTTTTCATAGGCAGGTAGCAAAAAAAAAAGCATCCAAGCTCTACATGTCTATGTGCAAGCAAAGCATATACCCATTTGAATCCCCAACAGCTTTACTTTTCAGCAGTGTCCAATGACAAGGGGAGCACAGGAGGTTCAAGCTAAACATGAGGAGAAACTCCTTTCCTGTGAGAGTGACAGAGCCCTGGGACAGGCTGCCCAGAGAGGCTGTGGAGTCTCCTTCTCTGGAGACTTTCCAAACCCATCTGGATGTGTTCCTCTGGGATCTACTGTAGGTGACCCTGCTCTGGCAGGTGGTTGGACTGGATGATCCTCAGAGGTCCCTTTCAGTCCCCACCACTCTGAGATCCTGTGAACGTCCCCCCCATCACGTCACCCCTCCCTGTACCAGTCCAAGCTGGTATCTCACTGTCTCCAGAGCTGAAGCCCCAGGGATGCTCCTCACCTCTTGGGCACCATGCACGAAATCAGGCTGGGCCCCCCTGGAATGACCTGGATTTGGGGGCAATTACCAGAGGGATGTTGGGGAATAAGGGAGACAGAAACAACCAGATGCAACCCCAGCCAAAGGGTCAGATAAGGAGGGTGTTGGGGTGGGGGGGTCTTCAGGCTCAGCACCCTGGAACAGACCAAGCTTCCAGGAAGTGGGAAATTAAGGTAATTACTGGAGAAATGATGTATTTCTCTCTCTCTCTTTTTTTTTTTTTTTTCTTAAAGCATTAAAAAAAAAAATCCATCTACAAAATTGGGAAAAAAAAAAAAAGTGGAGCATAAAAGTCAAACTTATTAATAGAATCACAGAATCCCAGCCTGGTTTGAGTGGAGGGACCTTAAATATCATTTAGTCCCACCCCCTGCCATGGGCAGGGACACCTCCCACCAGCCCAGGCTGCTCCAAGCCCCATCCAACCTGCCCTTCAACACTGCCAGGGATGGGGCAGCCACAGCTTCTCTGGGCAACCTGGGCCAGGCTCTCACCACCCTCACAGTGAAGAATCTCCTCCTGATGTTCAAACTACATCTCCCCTCTTCCAGTTTCAATCTCTTGTCCTCTCACTCCCTGCCCTTGTCACAAGCCCCTCCCCAGCTTTCCTGGAGCCCCTTCAGGAACCGGAAGCTGCTCTCAGGTCTCCCTGGAGCCTTCTCTTCTCCAGGCTGAACACCCCAACTCTCCCAGCCTGTCTCCAGAGCAGATGTGACCTTATTCCGTAGGTTTTGAAAGTTATTTTCTTTTCCTCTTGCAACAACAAACACCCAGTGAAGGGGACAGAGGAAGGAATCACTCCTGTGCAGCCACAAGGGGAACCCCTGCTGTGCTCTCATCGGTGCTGCTGTTGGTACCAGATCCTGCCAGGAGGGGTGTGAGTCACAGGAGTGAAAGTTCACCACGTGTTTTGGTTGGGTTTCATCTGGCCGTGTTATCTGGGATCTTGGCTTTTTGTCTGCCCAGAAACCAGTGAACCAGAGCAATCAGGGTTCAAGGGAACATCTGAAGGTGCTGCTGACTACCAGCGCGAGTGAGCTTTGGACTTGCTTGAGCTTTGGAACGGATTTTCCCAGAAATTTAACATTTGTACATTTGGAATTTACTACCTGTTATAAATTGTGGCCCAATAATTGACAGGAGCCAGTCCAATTAATCAATTTAGTTTATTAAGTAAGCAAACAACAAGCCAAACAGCGCTGGGGGCCGGGCAGTCTCCGCTCTGCCAACGGCGCGCGCCCGTCAATCAACGTCACAGCCCTTTATAGTCCCTGCACGTGCGGGCTGTTGTCAGGGGGTCTCTTCCTGTCCCCGGTGGTGTGGAGATGAGGGCGGAGAGAAGGCGGGAGAGAGTCCTCCCCGCTGCCCTGAGACTCACTCTTAAAGAAACATAGCTACACACCCCCTCCCAGCACACCAACAAGAAATCAACTGTTCCCTGTTGTTGCAGGGACTTTCAAAACTTTTAATGAACAAATACCGTATTTCACCTGTTACACTACCAATTTTCTATTTCAAAATGTTGAAGGCTTTTGTTGCCTTTTGAAATTGGGTTTGGTGTGCAAGTTTTTGAAAGGTGCCTGACCTTCGTGGACACACCTACAGGCAGATTCAACTTGTTTTGGTAAAAGCCAGGTCACCTAGAGCAGGACGGACTAGATGATCTTCAGATCTTCCAACCCTGATGACTCTGTGACATTGGACACCAAAGCAATGTGAGGAACACCAGCAGGGGTGGCAGCAGTGTGGCCACCCAGCAAAAAGCAGTGTCCTCTGCTTCTCCTGAGCTTCCAGCACCTGGTGGAACAATGCAGCCCCACAGACAGAGCTGCTGTTGGAGCATCCCACCATGCAGGTTTCCAGCCATGGGATGTAGGAAAGTGATGGCAAGCAAGACTGTGGTAGGTGTGATCAGATATGAAGAACTGCTCTGCTTAGTGGCTGAGCTGCAGGAGGAGGTGGGCAGACTGAGGAGTATTTGAGAGCCTGAGAAGGAGGTGGACAATGGAGCAGTGCTCTGCCATCTGTGGTGCAGGCAAACCAGCTCAGCATGGCCACTATGGAGGCAAGCATTTCAAGTATAGGAAGGTCCTCAGATGTGTCCAGAGGAGGGCAACAAAGCTGGTGACAAGGCTGGAAGGAATGTTCTGTGAGGAGTGGCTGAAGCCTTCGAGCTTGTCTGGTGTGGAGAAAAGGAGGCTGAGGAGAAACCTCATGGTTCTGCACAACTTCCTGAGGAGTGGACATGGAGAGAGAGGTGCTGAGCACTTGTCCCTGGATCCCAGGGACAAGCCACATGGGAAGGGTTCAAAGCTGCAGAAGAGGATGTTTACAGTGGACATCAGAAAGTATTTCTTCACTGAGAGGGTGGTCAAACCCTGGAACAGGCTTCCCTGAGAGGTGGTTGATGCCCCAAGCCTGTCAGTGTTTAAGAGGCATTTGGACAATGCCTTAACAACGTGCTTAAAATTTTGGTCAGCCCTGAAGTGGTCAGGAAGTTGGACTAGATGATCACTGTAGGTCCCTTCCAACTGAAATAGTCTGTTCAGTCCATACCAGTTTGACAGGAACACTTACGAAGTCTTCTACTCATGGAGGGGCTTCCTATGGAGATACCAGCAATTCTGGGAAGACCCTGGCCTTGGTGGGGCCATAGTCACTGCATCTTCCATGCTCACTGCAAGCTGGTGACTCTGCCCTCCCCTCTCCTCAGTCCCCCATCCTTTTGGTGCTGTGGCTCTGGCTCCAAGGAGGCCACCTGCCTGAAGCCACTTTAATCCCATCTACTCTTTCCTACATTTCTTGGTGCCACCTGCTCTTCAGCTAGCTGCTGATTTGGGCTGGTTGTCATCCCTGGGATGGTGCTCTTTGAAAGAAAAGCCTGGGCAGCAGAGGGTGCTGAGAAAGCACTGGTGAAGGAGATAACAGAATGATAGAATTCCAGACTGGTTTGGTTTGGAAGGGACATTAAAGATCATCTAGATCCAATCCCTGCATGGGCAGGGACACCTCCCACCAGCCCAGGTTATTCCAAGCCCCATCCAACCTGCCCTTCAACACTGCCAGGGATGGGGCAGCCACAGCTTCCCTGGGCAACCTGGGCCAGGCTCTCACCACCTTCACACTGAGGAATTTCCTCCTTATGTCTAAGCTAACTCTCCCCTCTTCCAGTTTTAAGCCACTACCCCTTGTCCTCCTGCCCAAACCCTCATGGAAAGTGGAACGTTTTGATATATTTTAAAAAACCCAAACAGTTGCCACTCCAGACCAAGTTGGCCCAGCTGTGGCTCCTGGGGTCTGTTTTCTCCTCTTCTGTTTTGCCCTCTTCTCTCTAAGGTGAGTTTTTTTCAGTGCTGCTCTGCTCACCAGAAAAGCAATGTCTCCATGTGCAGACGTGTCTCCACCATGTCTGCACACAGGGTTGGGACACTGGAAGAAACAGTTCCTTCAGGAAGGACAGAGTCATCACCTGCTCTTTGAAAACAGCTTCTGCTCTACAGGAAACAGGCCCAGGGTTCCCCAAGGCTACCCCTGATGGCTGAGCTGCCAAGAGGCACCTGGTCCCTGCAGGTGGGAGTTGCCAGTTATGCTTCACCACCATCTCACCCAAAGACTTAACAGTTGATCTGCTGTGGATGTCAAACCAAAGTGATCTGCTTTTCCTTGGGTGCCACTTTTTGTCCCTGGAAAAAAAGAAGGAGCAGATTTCAGACCTGCTGGTCAGCACCTTCCTAGCAGATACGATTCTTCTGCTTTTCCAGCATCTGAGTCTGCAGGTTCCACAAGCAGAGCAAAGTGACATTGGTGACCTCAGCAGTAACATAAACATTCAGGTGTCATCAGACCACAAGCTGGAGAACTTGGTACTGGTTAAAAGAGAGTTCCCTGAAGGAAAAAAGATCAGTAAAAAGAAAATCAGCTTCATCCTGGCTCCAACCAGTGCTTGAGTCAGTGAAAATGTTTCTGCAAGTCTTCTACATGTCCTGTACTTCCTCTGGGTTTCTCTGCATGGTCTTCAATACCCCAGGTGACTCAAAAAACCCCACCCCAGACTGGTTTTGCACCATGTCCTCTCCAAAGACCCTGTCATTAAATGAAGCTTGTGCAAAGTACCACATCCTGCTCCTCCATATAAGCATTTAAATTTAGGAAGCCAACCAAACATGAATTCTTTCTGTGAATTATAAACATGGGTCCATCCAAGCCTAGGAGTGTTTTGCACTCACAAAGGAAATGTTCTGCTCACTCGTGATACCACTCCAAAAGTCATGAGCTCTTTGAGATCCACCCTGTCTTCTGCTGGGCTGATTCCCCATCAGGTTGCTCATTCCTTGGTCTCCTTCAACCGAGATGAGATTGTCCTTCCAGGGCTGTGGGTAGGCTTGGTCCATGGAAGACAGGGTAAGCCATCTCCATAGCTTGTAGCCACCACCTCACAGCAATCTGGTGCCAGAGCAAAACCAACTTGTTGTGGTAGCACTGGACAAACAGTCAGTAGAATGGAAATCTGGTCAAAGCCTAGACTGGGAGTCCCCCGCCAGGCTTGTGATTCCTGGGACTTTCATAACCCACAGCTAGGAGGAATCCCTCGTACTTAATGACTTTGCTGCCCTCCAAGTCACATCCAGAAGCAGTTCAAAGCCAAGGGAACATCAGCACAGCCAGGGCAGACACATTCAGCAGTAGCTCTCCAGGGAGGGCATAAGCAGGGCCACGGCCTGGGGAAAGGTCCAAACCAATGTTTGTGGACAAGACTTCTACTCAGAATTTACCTTGCATGCAGGGCCCACAGGCAGGCCGCAAAGGTGTGTGGACTGTGAGCCTGCTGTCCCAGGGTCCCACCAATTCTGGCTTGGCAGCCACTGTATTTTGGTCTGTGCACATCCCACCAGGAGAAGAGGGGTTCCCAGGTTCTCAACTAGCTCCTAAAGGTCCATGGGGTGGTGCAAGGAAGAGAGGCTCTGGGCTGCTCCCTCGGGCAGATCCTGTGCTGCCTGTTCTGTTTCCCCAGCTAGCAGAAGGTGGAGAGGTCCAAGATCTCAACCATGGGAGATAGGGAAGTACACCCAGGTCGGACCCCCGTCTCTCGTTCTCAGTGAGCACTGCAGAGGAGCTGGGAAACAGTGTGGATCAGACACCACTAGTGCATTCATTGCTGGCTCATGAATTGTCCCACGTACCAGACTGGTTGTGCTTGTTTTCCACCACCTGGCTTTTTCCTGGATGCTGCTCTGCAGGCACATGGTCGTTGGCTGATGACAGTTCTGCTGTGAGCAGGAAGCTGGCCTGCGGGCTCTGGTGGTCCCTTCCCACCACCATAGCTTTCCTGACAGGAGGAGAGGTGATGAGGCTGGAAGACATGAAGTTGAAGGGGCTTGTGGCTGCCAAGCCACCACAGAGGGCTGATGGTCATGTATGAGATTGGCTTCACATCCTTTGGATTCCCACTCTTGAGGTTTCCACATCAATGAAAGCCAGTGTCACATGAAGCTGGTGTTTCTTCCTCCTTTCCTGGATGAGCTCTGCCTCTTCCCTTTCTACCCAAGTGTGGTTGTTCCACCTCCATCAGTCAGGGTAGTCATCCCAGTGCCTGCTGCTGACACACAGAGCTGGTACATGTTGCCAACCAGTTCCTGCACCGGAAACCCCAAGTGTGAGCATCTGGTGGCCTGTCTGGCAACCCCAGATGTCTGCTTCTCCCCGCCTTCAGAGCCCTTCACAACTCTCTGCTGCTCCCCTGAGGACCTCAGGGTTTGAGCTGGGCTCCTCCTGGAGCGGGCCAGCTGAGACTTGCTCTTCCTGTGGGAAGAGCCTGTTCGACACCTTTTAATTAGGGAGGTGGGAGACAATGGGCTGACTCAGGAGGTGGTGGAGCCTGGCATGTGGCCTTGTCAGCTCCACTTACCCTTTCCCACCAAAAGAGCACAAAACAAAAGGTCTTCTCTTCCTGCAGAGCAGTGGTGGCCTCAGGGCAGTGCTGACTGCACAGAGGAGCTGGGTGCCATCCCAGTGGTCCCAGCAAGGACCAGGAGACCAGACTGGGCAGCTGGGGAGGAAAAGGGTGACAGCCCATCACAGCAGTGGTGGTGAGAATAAATCCTGGTGTCCATCCTCTGGCCAGGGCAGCCATAGCCTCATCCAGGTGGGACAGGACCAGCTAGGACTTGATGTCATTTCAGCCAGGCTTTGTGTCACAGCTTTGCTTCAGGGTTTGAAAAGAGAAAGGAAACGTTGAGGCACAAGGAAGGAGACAAAAGTGTTTGCTGGAAACAGATGCCAAAAGTTTAGAGGGGATTGTTGAGGACATGGTCCAAGACTGGCCATGTCCATGGTGGGGCCCTCAGCAGCATCACGGCTGGCTTGGGAGGGAGGGTGGGAGATTGTCCTGCCCAGCTGGGTCCTCCCTGCTGGAGATGACCCATGGAGCCACGGGAACCAACGTCCTGCAGTGGCCAGCGAGGCCAAGGCTCGGGTGCCCCAGCACCTGAGGGGCACGAAGAGGACTCGCTTCTCCTGAGCAAACGGTGGGAATGAGTTCCGTTGTCAGACCCAGCCCTTGGCAGCACTGGGAAAGCCTGTTCTCCTCCCCAAACCTTCCCGTGCGTTCTTCCCAACTCCCACCAACCCGCTGGGCCTTTCAAGGCTGCTTGTGGGTGACCCAGCTCTTCCTGGAAAGGGGACACGATGGGCTGGACAGCGCACGACTCGGAGGAGGTTCTGCTTGAGGTGCTGGGTCACCTCACAAAGAGACTCTTCCTCTGCCAACGGGGAGCAGTGATGGCAGCAGCGGGTGGGGGGGCCTGGAGCTGCCGGGGCTGGGGGGACATGTCCCTGGTGTCCCTGTCCTGTCCCTGTCCCTGCTGTCCCTGTCCCTGCTGTCCCTGTTCCTGCTATCCCTGCTGTCCCTGTCCTGTCCCTGCTATCCCTGTTCCTGCTATCCCTGCTGTCCCTGTCCTGTCCCTGCTATCCCTGTTCCTGCTATCCCTGCTGTCCCTGTCCTGTCCCTGCTATCCCTGTCCTGTCCCTGCTGTCCCTGTCCCTGCTATCCCTGCTGTCCCTGTCCTGTCCCTGCTATCCCTGTCCTGTCCCTGCTGTCCCTGTCCTGTCCCTGCTGTCCCTGTCCTGTCCCTGCTGTCCCTGTCCTGTCCCTGCTGTCCCTGTCCTGTCCCTGCTGTCCCTGTCCTGTCCCTGCTGTCCCTGTCCTGTCCCTGCTGTCCCTGTCCTGTCCCTGCTGTCCCTGTCCTGTCCCTGCTGTCCCTGTCCTGTCCCTGCTGTCCCTGTCCTGTCCCTGCTGTCCCTGTCCTGTCCCTGCTGTCCCTGTCCTGTCCCTGCTGTCCCTGTCCTGTCCCTGCTGTCCCTGTCCTGTCCCTGCTGTCCCTGTCCTGTCCCTGCTGTCCCTGTCCCTGCTATCCCTGCTGTCCCTGTCCTGTCCCTGCTATCCCTGTCCTGTCCCTGCTGTCCCTGCTATCCCTGCTGTCCCTGTCCTGTC